CCAGTATATTTAGTTCCTGCATTAATAGTTCACCGTCAAGGTCTGTTGAAAAGGTATTGACTACTCATCCCCATTATTGCTAGTCAAGCTTTCAGGGTAGGAACTAAAGAGAAGTTCTCATTAGTATTTTCTTAATGAGCAGATTAACGTGATATTTTGTTACATGATACATCTTATTCTTTTCGAGATGTCTGGTGTTCCATATAAATAATCTTTTTGTTTTTGGTTTTTACAAAATAATGATTTAGTGATTTGGTTTTTAGCAACGATTAATTTGGGTTCAAAGAAATATATAAATACCTAATCAAATCAGCTGAAGTACAGAGTAGATGTTTTTTCTTAAAGGTTGACCTCAGTGGAGTCATGCACTTGCATTTTGACGGGTTGCGCTTATTCAGTTATTTGACTGATTTGAGACGCTACAAACAGAACTCCCTTTTGATCATATGTACTCAATTCATTTAAACCACTACACCAAGGCAGTAGAGTAAGGGCATCCCCATATGAAACTTGTTTGGATTTTTTTTTTCTCGCCAATTTAGCACCTTTTACAGGCAAGTTTTTTATGTTGTGTGAATTTTTTCCAACATCTGAAATTTCCTTTTCATCTTGATTCCTGACCCTGCTTGTTAACATATAGTACAGTAGTGTGAACCTATACCAGTGCATTGCCCTTAGTTCACGATGAAAATGACAGCTAACCTCTCTGGGCTCTGTCCTTTATTGTTTCTAGAGGAATTAATTATTCATTTTTCTTCTTTCTCTAATAAGCTGTAAGCCTGTAACTACTACAGCTATGCTGATTCTTCTGGTAACTTTACTTACTGGTATCAACCATTTATTTTTTAATATTAGGAGGTCCTCTCATCTTCTTGTCAAGAGCACTATTTGTCGAATGTCACTTTGGCTGACTGTTCATGTTTTCAATTGTCAATACCCATAAGTCAACAGTTGATATTTGATTTAATTTGATGATTTCATTATATTTTCTTGCTACCTTGTTTAACAGATGGAAACTATATTCTGCTATATCAAGAAAATAGATTTTGGGTTCGTATCCAGCATATGCTGAACTTGTCAATTATATCATCCAATTAGCATTGCACACACATTTATTCAATATTACTGTATAGAGGAACTGGGATCATGATTTCTTCCAGTGTGATATGTTTAATTCATGAAATGTGTTCTAGAATTTTTTTTCCCTGAAAACTACTTTGGCATTTGTTTCTTGCTATAGACTATGTGCTTACTGTTTTTTCTTTACTGACTGTGCTTGATCTCATGTATTTCTGGCCTATTTGCACAGGCTTTATACAATTTTAGGGAAAAGTCTCCTGGGTACCGCAAGATCTAGCTTATTTCTCTCACTATATTGTGCGTCTGCCTGGTTAGTTATTGATTCTCATCTATCTCTTTCATACCTCTTGGTTAATGCAATAATTCAACTTTATAACATACATGTGGTATTATTCATAGCAATACATGTGCTTAATTGTTCCATCATAAGGAAAACCAAGTATATTCATGCTACGCATTACGGAAAATCATTCTGAACTAAGTCAAATTGGAAATTGGAAATACTATATAGTGGATGCTTTTGACGCATCTCCTACCGTGCCATATCGATTTGATTTTTTTATACTCTTCTGATTTCCCTTTTCTGGCCTACACAAATGTGTTTCCTGAGTTGTGGCAGAAACTCATTCTGAACTAAGTCAAAATTTAAAAGTTTTTCTGTTCAGCATAAAATTCTCCAAGTAAACTTCATTATGGGTTATAAAATTTNCCTTAGCTTTCAAAATATCATAAAAACCCCCCTTAAGTATCGGGATTATAAAAAAAACACCTAAATTTCAGATTTTATCAGAACCCCCCTAAATTTATGGGTTTTTTAAAAAAATCTCGAAGTTAAGGTTTTTTTTTTTATAACCACTAAAGTTAAGGGCGATTTTCTGATAGGGGGTTTTCAATCATCCAAAGTTAAGGGGGGTTTTATGATATTTCGCCTAAATTTTACTATCCTTCAAATATTTTTATATATTCCACATGGTGAACATGGAGTGTCTCCCATACCATCCCTGTGGCCAGGCTTTTCATCTGTAAGCGAGCTTCTTAGGATGAGATAAGTTGCATGTGAAAATAGGTAAAAATGCCATCATTTACTCTCACATATACAAATGAGCTGGAGCATATCCAGGTTTATGGCTAGGGGTGCTAAACCGTATCCGTATCCGAGAATATATCCGAAACCGTATTCGTTAGGATACATATATGTTTACTCAAATCTATAACCGATTGGATATGGTTACGAATATGGCTTTGTAGTGAAATATCAGAATCCGTATCCGAAATATCCGAATGCATAGTAGTCATACTCTTACGATAGTTTTAATTCTTAGATTATGGATTTGTGATTAATTTTAATGATCAAGATGTCTGATCTTAGCTTTTCAGTTATAATGAATATATTAACGAACTCTTTTGTATTGCATGAACTATGTTTTCTTAAATACTATCTTGTTTTCTCATATCCATTTTGTATCTACATGTATATCCGCTTATATCCGTGTGTATATCCGTAACCGTATCCGATTTTAGCGGATATGGATATGAAATTTTCTTACCGAGGTATATCCGTAACCGTATCCGAGATGGTTAAGCGGATATGAATATGGTAAGCATCATATTCAAGCCATATCCATACCGAATGCACCCCTATTCATGGCTCCGTAGAAGTATACTTCTGGTGCTGGATCTGTGTAGATAGGCTGTGAGAACAATGGCTAAAGATAGATGCAAATTTCCTATTCACTGGAGCCACAGCCTTCTTCCAAAAAGACAAAAGGGAGGAAAAAATAAAAAATAAAAACCAAAAGCACTTTTTTTATCCACATCTATAATCGAAGGGTAAAGAACTTTCCCAGTGTCAACATATCAAACCATATTGCTCACAAGCATTCTAGGTGTTCATAGCGTACATCCTTATGCATTGACTTAACCAGGTCTACGAAGAACTGTAGTAAATGCCTAAAATAACCTTACTGCATTTTCCCAATGGAAAGCTTAAGACCAAAGGCTCAAAGAGAAGGGTTCCTCTTTTGAGCTTCTGGTAAACTACCAAAGGACATACCATAAATTCTTTTACTACTTGAATAAACTATACTCAACTTCATGCAATCTACAATAAAAGAATAAAGCACTGAAAATGTAAAGAGATTTAATGCTGACTTCTAACATATCTCCCAGGGCTTGGACTTGCCTACTTTTCAGACTCCTTCAGCGATGCAACATTCCTATGGTTGCAATGGGAACAGTAAGAAGCTACCTCACAACTCCATGATCATATTTCAACTCATTCCAAGCCTTTTGCAAAAAAACTAAGCAGTTATTCAATAACAGTTCCCTACAGGATTGGCATTGGCAATTGAGAAGAAGAGCAGGAGAATCGAGATCTCTCTTTATTGCTTTGCACGTGCCATTGAGAGCTTCTTCACGTGCATGTCAGATGCCGGCTTGTGTCCACAGGCATCAAAATTGAAACGAGCAGATGTTGTTGTGTTTAGCATAGCGACGTCCATCATCATGCACTGTTATGCACAAGAAAGAGAAGTATTCCGTTCCAAGTACCTGAATGTACTTGATTGGGTATTTGGAGTGCCGCCTCAATGCGATGATGACGAACTTGATAAGGGCAAATGATAGAAAGAAATCGGAAGAATTTCCGGTTGGAGAGGGAGGGGAGGTTATAGTGCAGAAAAGATCAGGTATACTAGTTTGATTGTAGAGCAATTGACAAGGAAAGGGTCAATTTATTTGTGTTCATGTATATTGTTGCACATGCAAATTTTGCTCTGTTGAGATCAGTAGAAGATGGTGCAGCAATAGAGATGCAAATTTATAAGTAATCAGTTTGCACCCCGCCCCCAATTAATCGATAACATATATATTTTGTTCTAATTGAATCGAAATATATATTGAGAAAATCAACTCAAGAATTTGTCAAAATTTATACTTTTGTATCTCATCATGGGATGGAGATCCTCTCCAACTATGTGGAAATTGGGGATGGCCCAATAACCCAAAGCTTTACTGTCAATACCTATTCATTCAATTAATAAGATTGAGTAGGTATTTAGGGTTTCCAGACAGCCGCCGCAATTTCCCCAGGAATCAACTCAAGACCATCACAAGAAGAAAACTAGGAACAATCTATTAATAACACCTCGTCACCGAAAACAAAGTAAAAAAAAACACCAGCAACATCAAAATCCCATCTAAATCATCAAACCCACAATCAAAACCCTAAAGAGACCCAAACCCTCCCCCAAAATCAGACCTCGTCCTCGTGAAGCAGCATGTTAGGGATCCCCTTGTTCACAGGAAACCTCCTCCCGGTCTCGGGGCAAACCAGCGCCCCCTCCTCGACGTGAACCTCGAGCAGCGCGTGGTGAAATCGGCGAAGAAACTCATCGGACTCCAGCATCGAGGGCTCGGCCTCCTCGGGGAGATCGCCGTAGCCCAGGGTTTTGGCGGCGGAGACGAGGGCGGGCCAGTCGATCTTGGGGAAGACGTTGCGGAGGAAGTCGGCGTTGAAGTCGGCTTCCTTGGCGGCGGACTGATGGGCCTCGATCCTGAGGGGGTACCCGCTGGTTACGCCCTTGATGTTGCTTGCCAGCATGTTGTGGGTTAAAAGTCTCATCTTTTTGGTGATTTTTCTTTTCTTTTTCCTTTTTTGGGGAGTCTTTGATGGGGTTTGGGGGCAGGGTTTTTGGCGTTTATAGGAGGAGGAGGTGAGCAACGTGTTGATCGGCGGGCGCAGGGATAGGTTTATCGTGGGGCGTAGTTATTGGGCCTTATTGGGCTGATTTAGATTTTGCGAATAAATGGGCCTTTTCAAAAAAAAAAAAAAAAAACTCCAGCTCATGCTACTTTATTTATAAAAGTACTTCTCATACATGGTTCCCAAAGCTGAACCCAAAAGGCAAAATAAAACTCCAATTTTGCATCAACACGGTGAAGCTATATAAGATAATTGTGTTTATCGAATCAAATGTACCCTCCAAACTCACGCATAGCCGTAAAAACAAAATCGGCTAAACACCCATATTGGTATTTTAATTATACCCTATTTACCAAGAAGGTATTTTAATTGATTCAACTTACTAATAAGGTCATTTTTCTCGTCGGCGACCAGTTTTCCGGCGAGAGCTCATCACGTGCATGGCACGTGATGACTTAAACTAATTTTTAGCTGCTGATGTGGCACGGATTTGTCCTATTTTGGGTGAATTGAGATTTTTAGAGGGTTAATTCCCGCATTTAAACACTATCACGTCAGAAAATCCGTACCACATCAGCAGCTAAAAAACAGTTTAAGTCATAACGTGCCACGCACGTGACGAGCTCTCGCCGGAAAACTAGTCGCCGACGAGAAAAATGACTTTGTTGGTAAGTTGAATCAATTAAAATACCTTAAAGCATATTTGCCTAATTAAAATACCTTCTTGGTAAATATGGTAGAATTAAAATACCAATATGGGTATTTAGCCAATCAAAATCTATACCTATCTATAACTATTTATAAAACAAACCGTTCTACGTCCTCCCTTACCCTCTCAGTTTGTTTTTATAGTTTCAGTGATATCTCATTATTAATAATAATTAATCTTTTAATTAACTTCACCGAAAAATTATGGCCTATTCTCTGTCTCTCTATGGGCCTCTTGTTTTCCCCGCTATCAATCTTCAATCTACAACGACCTGCTGGTTTCCGTCTCAATATCTAAGTTTCTTTTTTTTTTCCATTTCCACGGTCCCCTCATCTAATTTGTTAAAACCCCAGGAATCGAGTCCATTGTTTTGTCGAAGGCGAGATCATAGGTAAGTGATTTATCTCAATCTTCGAGTTCTCTTAAATTACTTATTAGTAGCGGAATCTTATATATTTATACAAATTGGTCAGTATCGTTCGATTTCTAGGGATTTAATAAATTAGATCTTTTCCAAGAGTGCTCGATAGGACTGGCTTTGATCTGTTTCTTGAAATAAGTTTCTGTAGCAAGCAAATTTTACTGCAAGATATGTTTCTTTGAAAATCATATCATATCATATCATATCATATCATACTCCTCATAAAAGAGTGAGCCTGAGAAAAACTTTCTATGGTTAATTTTACACTTAATCCTTATGGATATTATATTTTAATTTTATCCTAATATATTAAAATAATGTAAAGGTAAAATCTTTAACCATAATTTGATATTGAAAGAGATCAAATAGAGGAACTAATTTTCTATCATATTAAAAGATGACATATGTCCAACCAATTCTATCTTCATAAGAATTCTCATTAGATTAAAACTATAAAAATCTAAAAAAATATCATTGTCCCTCCTTAATTATTTTAAAAAGTAAATTTCAATGAACCTCTCAGAACTTTAAATTGAGCATTAAACTCCCAAAATATTAGCAATTCTCATTCAATCCTTAGTAAGTTAGATAATTTTAGAAAACACCCAAAATATTTTGAATTTTTACACTTAAGTTCAAAAATGGTTTTACCCTAAATTTTTTCACATCGGCTAAAATTAACCCTCAAGGATAGTATATACTCCTCAAATTGATATTATTTGCAAGTTAACCATAAATGATAAACAACGCAAAAAAAAAGAAAAAATTACAAATAACTACTAAAAATTTTAAAATTACAAATAATACTCAGAAAATTTACAGAAAAACATATAGGCCCCTAAAAAATTAAAATTGTAGAAAACCTTGAAAATCTTAAAATTAAAAAAAACTCTTAAACTTCTAAAATTATGAACGACACACGAAAATTCATAAATTACACAGAACTTCTTAAAAATCCAAAAAATGCAAACCAACCACTTTAAAAATTAAAGAAAATTCATAAATTACACAGAACTTCTTAAAAATCCAAAAAATGCAAACCAACCACTTTAAAAATTAAAAATTATGAACAACCCTAAAAATCCAAAAAAAAAATCCAAAAAATGCAAACCAACCACTTTAAAAATTAAAAATTATGAACAACCCTAAAAATCCAAAAATTCAAATAAACATATGAAAAGCATGAAAATTACAAAAAAAAACCTCATAAAAAGTAAAATATTACAAATGGTATCCTAAAAATTTTAAATTGCTTACAGCCCCTTAAACATCTTAAAAATAATAAATTGACCCTTTAAGTTGAAAAACTTCAAAGAAACCCTGAAAAGATTACAAAAACCTAAAAAAATTATAAAAAGTATAAACAATCCTTTGAAAATCATACATCAGACACAAACATCTCTAAAATCTAAAAATTACAATCAACCTCTTGAAAATTCCAATAAATACAAACAAACCTCTGAAAAGATCTGAAAATTATAAATGATCATTATTTTGGGTTTTTTGCTAAAAATGTTGGGGATTAAGTGAAAAACGTAAAACTTATTGGGTTATTTGGGTGTACTTTGGTCATTTGACTACACATAAATTAATAATGTTAATTTTGAGGATTTTTATAATTGAGAAGGTTTATCTACAATAGGTTTAAACTTGAGGGGATTTCCTCATATTAAAATAGTTGAGGAGGTTTTTCTAAAATTAATCCAATATTTTTTAGATATAACATTATAAAATCTCATTAAGTAGTGATTAGAAGAAACCCTTTTTAACTTTTAGATCTTATTAGAAAAGTCCCTTAACTTTGAGATTTTATCAGAAAATTCCCCTAAGATTATCACTTTTAGAGTGGTTTCCCGATAAAATCTCAAACTTAAAGTGGTTTTTTGATAATCCCTAAATTTTAGTGGATTTTATGATATTTTTAAAGTTATGCGGAATTATCTGATTATCATCCAAAGTTAATGGGGGTCATTTTGATATATTTAGCCTTTAAAATATTTTACTTTATTTGCATAGTTACCTACACTAAATAAGAGATATATCGTTTGCTTAATAATTGAATATATCAAATAGGAAAAATGTAACATTTTTCTATATGCAACCAACTTAGTGGAAAAGGGTTTTTTTTTTAATTTTTTATGACTAAATAAAGTACTTTGAAAAGTGAAAACTTGGATATTTAGGCTTTTAAAATGTTCAATATGTATGATAAGTAAAAAAAAATTATGTATATAAAATTACTCAAATAATGGCTCCTAATTTCAAACTAAATTCTAATTTAATACATTTTATTTCCAATGATTTACATTTATAATGTTATACTTTATAGACACATGTGAAAACTGGTATAAATTAGTTTTAGCCATATTTTAAGTTCTTCTAATGTTTTGATCATTAGATGTTTAATATATATCATTTTAAAATACTTAGGGTCTTCACCAATTGCGAGCCCTTGAGATGTTCAATAGGTATGTTGGTTAAAAATAATTATGAGTAAAACTACTCAATATGTGTTGTTTAAGTTTTTTTGATATTTTATTATGAGATATTTAATATATATCATTTTAAAAGATTTAGGGTCTTCACCATTTGCAGTTATTTTGACAGACTTGAATTAGAATAACTACATCTTATCAGAGTAACACTAGCCATTAGATACTAAGAAATAAAGATGAGTCTTGATAGAATGTGTAACTGGGGCAATTGAGCTAAAAATTTTCGAAATTGCAAGAGTAATCTAATGAAATGGAGAAGGATCTTCAAATAAATAGGAATCTCATACTCATTAAAACAAGAGAAAATTGTATCAATGCCCCAAAAGCAACATCTTCATGTGTTGTAGCCCCTTCACTTTCCCCCTATGTGATTCAGCCCCAAGAAGTGTGACATCTTGTGCTACAGCTCTCTTTTAGCAATTATTACATACCAACTAAGTATAGAGAGAGGATAAAAAGTAAAAAAACTCAAAATGCCCTTATCTACTCTATTCTTTCATGTTAGGTCTATTTAGAGTTCTTGTTAGGTCTAATTTCAGCTTAATTTAATTCATATTAAGTCCAATTTAATGTTAAGTCTAATTTCATGTTAAGTCCAATTTAAGTCTAATTTCATATTAAGTCCAATTTAATTCATATTAAGTTAAATTTAATTCTTTTTTAAGTCTAATTTAAATCATGTTATGTCTAATTCAACTTGTTTTAAGTCTAATTTAATTGAACTTAACATGAAATTAGACTTAAAAAATTAAATTAGACTTAACATGATTTAAATTAGACTTAAAAGGAATTTAACATGATTGAAATTATACTTAAAATTTCGTGTTAGGTCTAATAAAAATTCGCGTTAAGTCTAATTTCATGTTAGGTCTAATAAAAGTTCGTGTTAGTTCTATTTTCGTGTTCGTGTTAGTTCTAACTCATGTTCGGTCTAATTCGTGTTCATGTTAGTTCTATTTCGTGTTTTTGTTAGTTTTAACTCAGTTCGTATTAGTTCTAATTCATGAATTAGAACTAACACGAACTGTGTTAGTTCTAACTCAATTCATGTTAGTTCTAATTCATGAATACAGTGGCATTGTTATATATATAGTTATTCACATATTGAAATTAGTAAACAAATTTATAATAGGATACGTGGACATGACAAATTTATAAAAGGTAAGATACAAGGACACGGTTATATATATATATATAGTTATACACATATTGAAATTAGTAACTTACTTGAGATCAATTATTTTTATTTCCATGTAACGAAAACTAAAATTTCTAGAGCTTTTTCATGTTTTATTTATTAAGTAGATTATACATTGGGAAAACCGCTCATTTCTTAAATTGATAGCTAAACAATCCTTTAAAATTATACTTTTGAA